AGGCAGGAATAAGGGTAGATAGATAGTCGACATATCAATATGGTATGAGCTTGACTAGGTAGTATTTCCTTATTTGCCATAGCTGATGCGCGGCATAATGAAGTCATATTAATTTTTCAATTGGTGTTTGTCCCGATATTTAGTACACGTTTAGGTGCATGTTCCTTATGGAATGATACGAATTCGTTCTAATTAAGCAGCATGTAATTTGTTGGCTGTCGTCATTACCGCATTTCCTCATTTCATTTCATTTGACGTGCCGCGGTAGCGTGAAAAGGTACGTACTGGGTCGCTTTAGCGGTGCTGGCGGCACAGTGACTTAGGTACCACCTATCTTATCTGGGCTGGCTAGGGCGATTAAGTAAGCGCGTCAGCGGCACTTTAACAAACCAGGCACTTTCAAGCCAACCTTCACGAGAACATCACCAACCAGGGACACTCCACCGCCGGCCAAATCCGCTGCGCCAATGTAAAACGACAGAAAACTGCGCGCCAGTTGTTAAGTTAATACCAGAGAAACCAAAGACTGAATTTTGAGCTAGATTTGAGAGGGCGCACCGGGGAGGAAGCTTGGGCAAAACAAAAACCTTGGTTCCGTCTTCCGTACATGCAACCGCTTTTTGACTCGCAAGCCGCGTCCAAAACTCCATCTTCGCAACTCTTCAGTCTTGCAACCTTGCAACCTTGCACGACATTGCATTCCTATTCATTGTGACCGTACCTACATTATTTACCAGGTATATTCCACCTGTTCGTCAGACAGGATTTACGTAAACCAACAACTACACAACCCTACTGCCGAATACCGTACCCAGTCCTTTTTGACCGACCCAAATAGTCGGTCAGCCCGCGGTCATTCGTCACCATGTCCAACTCGCAGGTCGGCAATGTTTACCAGCAGATCATCAACGATGTCCTCGAAGCTTCGCGAGTCGATTTCGAGGAAGGCGGCGTGGACGAGGGTGTTTTGGATGAACTGAAGAGGGTGAGTAATTGGCTATTTTTTTTCTTGTTTTTCTTTTTTTGCTCTTTTCCCTCTACCGCTTCTCCCTTGAGTCAATCAGCGATCAACAATTGTTGGTGCATTACCATCATATCTTTCATTTGGATAGGGACTTCCTTAAACATTGATCCATTTAAGTATTTGTTTTCCGAGATTTGATGAGTTGTCGACCAAACTTTGATGGGCATTACACAGGCAACTTTGCTGTGCTGGTTACAGGCGAGGCCGAGGTTGGTGAGAACTGGCGGATTTCGTGAGGGGCGGGCAGGCACTATTTGGGCTTTTTATGCCTCTGCACCCGCTGCAAATCTCCCAGTGACTCACGTCATTTTTCATTGGTTGGGACCAAGTCCACTCACGTGCCTCTTACTGTGCGCGTTTATCCTATCAGCTTATTCGCTACTTTCGCTACTTTCGCTACTTTCGTTACTTTCGTACTTATCCCTCTCCCTTTTAAGTCACCCTGCAAGCCTGCAAGGAACAAGGCTTTCGTTGCCAGCTAGACTTCCCACCCTCACCGAGTATCAAAGAAAGATGGACTAATTGGCTAACATTATTTTATCAGGGATGGCAGAAAAAGCTCTCCCAACAGCAGCTGGCTACGTTCCCCTGGGATCCGAAGCCAGACGCCCCTGCTCCCCCGCCCCCTGCTGCTGTTGTTGCTGTTGCACCAGCTCCTGAGCCTATTCCCCAAGTTAATGGCTCTTCATTTATCCAAGAGCATGTTCCTCAAATTCAACAACCTCCAGGTCTCACTATGCCTATGGCTGGTGGTCAGCCTCCGAATGGTCTCGGTGTCAAACATGAACCTAGCGTGAAGACGGAGCCTGGCCTTGACAATGGATCTATGATAAACCAGCAAAGTGGGCCTGGTGTTGTGCAAGAGCGTGTATCCCAGCAGCTCCAGTCCATGTATGGCGACCGCGCAGCGGCTTCGATCAACAAACTAAGAGAGCAGTCATTTCCTCAAAACCAACAGAGGCCTGGCAACCAACCAATTCCACCCAACTATCAGGGCCAATATCAGCAGGGTCACCCTCAACAGCAGTACCGGCCTGGCATGCCCCCTAATCCACAGCAGCAGCAGCAGCAGCAGCAGCAACGCATGACCATGCCGAATGGACAGAGGCCTCCGCCCTCCCAGTTGGATGGCGCAGAGGATGTCGAATCTCATATCGGTGTTCTCATGCGTCGTACCTCTGCCGGTGAAGATGTAGAAATGGGACGAGTTCAGATTGATAACTTGCTCCACGCCCAGATCGCGGCCAAGGCCAAGGCCATGGAAGGCGGTGGCCTGATGCTACCCCTTAAGCGCAAAGGTAAGGGTCAAGCTGTCTCACAACATAGTACACCCCTGCCTGGCGGTATCCCCCAGTTCGATGGCACGGATGATGGGGTGAAGGATGAAGCATCCGACGACGCGGACGCTATCAATTCAGATCTCGATGATCCCGACGACAATATTGAAGATGATGACGAGGACGAGGATGGCGGCCAGATCATGCTCTGCATGTATGACAAGGTCCAGCGAGTCAAGAACAAGTGGTAAGTTCCCCTATCGAGATGTAAATCCCATTGTAGTTGCTCACAGCAGAACAGGAAGTGTGTTCTTAAGGACGGCGTTCTAAGTGTAAACGGCAAGGACTACGTGTTCCATAAAGCCACCGGCGAGTATGAATGGTGATAGCGAACTAGAACTTACGTCGTCATATTGGCACGATTTTGTACAAGACTTGCTTTCGTTTCTTTTTAGGTCTGGCGCATATTTGATTAAATCCAACCGCGTCAAACCGCACTTTTATGCATTTCGATATTCCTCACCCCTGACAAGAAGCATCTGGGCAATGATTGCGGATGGAGGACAAAAAGCTGCCTTGCTCGATATTAATAAGGTAGAACTCCAGTGAGTTTCACTAAATGCAAATCTACGCAAGGAGGCATGATTCGTTAAGGGATATTCGCGTTGTTTTTTTTTCATCTTTACTATGGCATCGTATTCATTTAGTGATTCTAACGACGAGATTCAATCTTCGTTTCGGGCATTTTGGCCGCCGGGATGAATGGCGTGCAGGGGGTGCGAAATAGACCTGTCCTACTACTGCCGGTATGGATAGATAGTACTCCAGGACAGTTGTACTCATAGCAATAATTTTCGTAATGAAATTCCATTTATGATATCAAGTGTGACTTCAGCTTGCTAAAGTATTTTGAATATGGTCCGGCTCAGCTTCGGCCAGGACGAACTTTGGACGGCTGCATTCGTTGCTAGGTCCCACTGCTTGAACCCCTTGGGAGATATATAATGGCAGAGGGGGGGAAGTATGAGTCAATAAGCTATGACTAGGGCCGTCTTATCAATCGATCTGCTACTACGTACCTAGGAAGGTAAGCAGCCTAACATTCCCTCGGTCAAGCACCAGGTTGGCACATGACTCGGCCTGTGACTTAGCGCCTATATAGTTGGTATATGGGAGTATGACTCAGAGTTGGGTGTCGCAGGGAGGGAGGACGTATGTATATGCGTTGTAGATATAACTGCGGAATGATTGAGGGGATACTTGCCTACCTAGGTATACATATGTATGTGTGCCAGCATAGAATTCGGATGTATAGGGTCAGTACCTAGGTAGGTAAGCAGGTGTATTCTACACACTGGATTGAATCTTATTTGAGCTTGACATCATGCCGTGCTGTCTGCTGGAACACGGATGTAGGTCGGTAACTGGCTAGGGAAGTTATACTCCTGAATACAGCCTCTCCTTGAGCGTGTTCCTACGGGGGCATTGTTGTGTAATACAGGTTTCTTAGGTGTGAATATACTGTATCACTACCTACCCAAACGTTGATGGCGGCTGGATGGCGTGATATACTTTATCATTTTACTTGCTACCTTTCTTGAGAGCACATGAAGTTGCTACGTTTAGAAGGGAATGGTATGGATGGGTTAGCGAGTGAACGATATTCAGGTGTATATTAAAGTCGACCCGTATCATGCATGTAAACGTTTCCCTCTTTATATCTTGGCCACTTAACCAAATCGGCATAGCGGTCTAAAACAGGTAGTCTCAATCACATTATGTACTGCAGTAGGTATCACGGTTGGACGGCTACCTATATACGCTGTCCGAGTTATAATATATCATGTCGGTTAAGAAAGACACTTGGTGTACAAATTGCTACTTGAAGTCAGAGCACTTTTGCAACGGTACTTGCTGTTATTAGATATAACTACAAAACACTTAAGCAGCACGAATAAAAGTAAAAACACATCTAGGGGGGAATCCCAGTAAGAAACTGCCAGATCTAGCCTTACTCCGTCAACATATTCATTACTATAAAATCATTGCGCATATTAATCATTGGCATGCGCTCGTTTAAACATTTTAGGTTAGATAGGAAAAATAAATAATTAAAAAAAGAAATAAAAGTCGAACTAGGGGTTGACGAGTAACATGAGCAAGTGATGAAGGACTCGTGAAGAATCTCAGCACCCGCGGCTTTACCATTTGACCACCTAGCCCGTGCAGATTTGTATCTTGTCGAGATATATCACCTAACCTCCCATTATTTCGCCGTCTCGGGTAAACACATACATGTACCCAAGTACCTACCTATATCTTGATAACGGCTGGCAGCTGAGAACCAACGGGAGATTTCGACGTAGGAGGAGCTAGTAGCAGTGATAATAATTGTTGAAAGGCTCGTCACATGAAATATGGTGAGAAGATGGGGGAAAGCTGCGGTGCAAGAGCATATACCACAACTAAAGTGGCAAGGCGATATACGCCGGCTTTAAGTTGACTGTTTTATTTTATATCCATCGTGAGATTCGAAAACTATTGTATTATTATCCTTTCCCCATCTCGCTAGCAGTGCGTTATTACAATCGCTACTACATAGGTAGGTACATAGGTACATACATAGGAGAGAGACTGCCTGGCAGCTCGTTTGTAGATAATTCCAAAACCCCAAAAAGGGGGAGAAAAAAAAAGTGATTTGACCTGGATGGGATTCGAACCCATTCATTTCCTCCCCGACAGGGGTTGTGGAAGTAGGGGACGCGCGCAACGTAACGAGTGAGGAATGTGCTACAACTACACCACCAGGCCGTTTCGTTCTTGGGTGATAGACGTGCTGCTTTTTACCGTTATATGTTTGTCTTGCCTGTGCACGTACCAAGCCATCGCGCATCACGCACCTCCCCGGCGACCCTACCTAGGTACCTACGTGCCTGCCTGCCTTACGGAGGTACCTAATCTTCCTGGGCAACGATAAGAGTAGAAGGGAAACCTCAAGGATAAGAATAAAATGTTACTTGTTTCTCCTGGACATCTAACTACGCCTAATAAGATGTGTCCTCCCAAAGGAGATTCCGCGAAATTTGGTGCTATTTTCAGACCGCCCTCTACTTATAAACAAATAGTCTCGGTCCTCTCTTAAAGCAAAATAGGCGTAGGACTGAACGGAGAAAAGGGGCTTGAAGAGCAAAACAGAAAATACCCGATTTATACAATCAGTTATGCCTTGCCGCCTTTTCGAGAAGTTAGGAGAGTACTGCTCCTACAGAACTAACTCTGCTACTAACTAAAGAACATTAACGTTATCGACAGAATGTTTGAACAAGCTCTGTTGGTATAAGGTATAATTAGTTACATGGGAACACAGGACTTCAAGTCTCGGGATAATAATGAATACTGACAACCGCTTATTAGTACATAGTAAGAAAAGTCGCTATCTGTGCCTCTTACCTCGAAGGCAAGGCTGCGGATTAAGCTACCGTCCCGAGCTACCGGTGTCGGTTGGCTGTTGCAAGTCCGTGCAGCTTCCGGCATTAGGAACCTGAGCTGGGTACTTGATAAGGAGCTGATGCCCTCCGAGTACAGCCGCGGGCGGATGTCGTTGGAAGGCCGGGCCCGGAATTATGGGAATTGGCGAGGAGTGTTGGTTGTGTGGTAATCCGTATTCGAACGATAGATCGAAGCCCCACTGGCTGTCCCGACTAGCTTTTCCTATTAGTTGCCGTCTAATCCCCGCGACGGTACTATGTACTATGTACGTCGATCGTCAATCTACACTACATACATACATATGAGATGCTTGCGCAGCTAGTGGCTCTACACTATAGTCTGACACGTGGGTCGCCAACCAGGTATTGACCGTCTGGGCTTAATGGTATGTATGTGTATAAACATACAGATAAACTTGAAAAGTAGATCATGGTCTGGTGAAGAGCTAAGTCGCATATGGAAGTTCGGCTCTTTACGTGTATGGATATGCATCCTTCGTTATGCTGGCTTCGGCCGGCCAACGTAGCTGGGCCGCCGGGCGTGACCCGTATAAATGCCGTTGACCAACGCATAGATGAATGGTGTTGGCGTATTGATGAATTGGGGGCCTCTTGTCTTCGTATGGCGGCGTTGGGTGGGACTGGTCAGCTTCTTTGCGACCGCTATAGCCTAGGTGCTGTTCGCCTTGACCTGCTGTGTTGGATTTACCGAGTATTCTACGCGTACTGTGTATTGGGGCATGTTGTAATTAGACTACGACGAGAACCATGCGTTGTTTCTTTTGTCCCGGGAACCAAGAGATGCTAAAGCACCTCGCGTTTTGATGTCGAGTATGTTGTTATGATTACACGACATTATTGGATGCCGTGGTGTTGGGTCGCCCCTGTATCCTAATTTTGGTCGGTACATCCGCTCGTGATGTCTCTCTAGTGTAGTGTAGTTTAATCTGCATATACATACATATTGCGCAGGGGCTTCAAACATTGGTCTCCGATTTTACTCACAAGTACGGATTACTGTACAATACTTACCCACTCCTCTTATTCCTGATCCATTATGCATAGCTTGTTTACATATTATGTAGTGTAGACTGGGGTTGGATTGATTAGCTTAGGCCGCCTATATAATCCTCAACAAAGTGGACTGACTACCTACCTAGGACTTATGAAACTACCTGGGTAGGAAAGGGGGAAAATTGTCTGAAGCCTCAAGCTTGTAGAATAAAGCTGGAATTCAATGCCTTAGAGCTTGGCAAACGTCAATGTGGCTTTCGCTTTCGATGACCTGTATCCGTGTGCTAATATAAGTCGATTAAGTGAAATGAGTGATGATGTGGCGTTTAGATATGCGGCTTATAGTAGATGTCATTTAGATGTCTCTCGTCTCTTGTTGGAGATGAACGACAGGGTTTAAAGCTACGATTGTGTTAATCTTCACGATTTACGTAATGATGGAGTGTAGGTGAGCCTATACATGGGTTGTTGGTGATTTTGGATATGTTTCGGTTTGAATAAGTAGCTTGTCGGCGAAACTCACGTTCCGCAGGTTGCCGCTAGTATTAGGAGTTGGGAATATCCATCCGTCTAAAAGAAATAGGTGAATAGGTGGTTCTAAACACGGGGTTGACGGGAGATGGCCTCGAGTCCAGTGCACATACGCTATGTAACATGATCCTTGGGCGGAACCCATCTGATAGATGTGGATATTTAAACCCGCATTTCTTACATATGTATTGATGTGTTAATGCTATTAGTGTTAGTACATACACTACAAATCTACCATGCAAGATGACAAGGGTGAAAGGAGCTGGTGTAAAGTGCGGGATGAGCGGATGAAGAGAAAAATGGAGATTAGTAAAATTGGGTTGACCCGACAGACTGGTAACGAACGCTTGGGCGGTGAGACGCGAAGCTACAAGCCTGTTAATGAGGTGGTGTAGGTGGTAAAGACAGGCATTACGGGATTTGTCCTCGGGCGTCCGGCCCTAACTGGGAAGTTCGATGTAACCTCGTCCGGTAGTGACGATTATGATTAGCAAGAATCTTAACCTTTTTGCATACCAGGGTGCCAAATTCTTCGCCCTACTTTATCGTATGTCTGGTAGACCCCGTGGCTCCCGGGGAAAAGAAGCTGAAAATCCCGGCTGACTGATAAAATCCTTCGTCTATCATAAAAAAAAACATTCCAACCACCTGATAACATTTCAATGCACCTGGTCTCTTCCTATGCTCGTCTCAGCTATGTTAATTCAAAAAGCGGTCAATCTAATATATCGACATTCGTAGGTCTTATTATTGCCGAGAAGAACGCGCCCGAATGATTGGCCTCATATTTATTATTTATATATAATCGATAATATTATTGTATTGTACAAATCCGTATTGATTAGCTGTTACCTAGCATATCTTAATGCGACATTTGTTGCTGCGATGACTAAGGTAGGGCGCTTTGCCGGGGTATAGTGTAGTGTACCTATGTATGTATCTTTCGCGTAGACCGTGCGGTGTGCCAGGATCAACAATTAATAAGCTTCTAACGTTCGCCGGTGAGTCTGTATAAATTAATAAGTTAGTAATGCGACGGGCTATCGCAGCTCCAAGTTTATTTTCTGCGAGATCTGTCCTGCTAGTCATCAATGCAGGTACCAGTAAGATAATCGATAGATATCTTTTTTTTGTAGTTAGTTATAATCCGATAGACGACTCACTCATTTAATATGCGGCCAGCCGTTGCAAGCCCAGCTCGGTCGCTCGGTGTCCAATGAAATGGCACCGAGACAGCTCTAGCGTAGACAATCGTCGTACATTCGTATTTGAAGGATAGATGAATTAGGAAGATCAAATATAACACGAAAAATATTTATCTATCTAGCCTCAGCTGATAGAGTTGCAATGGTGGGCTTTGTGCATCGGCATCAAGAGCGGTCTGCTGTTCGCGGTGTAATCCGATTTTCAACTCAAGAAGCATGCATTGGGGTAACATATGAATCGTAGATGCATCAGGGATCGGCATTGGTCTATCCCAGTAGCGATTTCAGCTGAGTTGTCGGGTCGGCTATGGCCTTATCGGGTCAGTTTGATCTTCGGGCATAGACACCGGGCCGAGAACAGGGGTGGTACCGGGTAGATGTGCATCCAAGCTGACCAGTTGCATTTGCCTTGAACATGAGGATCAGCTAATCTCTTCTATGGAGCGAAGAAGGGGGGATATGACCTGGAACAAAGCTTTGGTGAGTACGGGGCTGTAAGACCGTCGACCTGTCGGAAGTGGTTGCAGCATTTCTGGGTTTCTGGGTTTACAATGTCTTCACTAAAGATTTCTAGTCCCGAGACAACTTGCCAACGCAGCTTTGAGTAGTGGAGAATGCCAAGACCTAACTTAATTGCGTTCCGTAGTGTCGGGTTCGACTCCGTTGCTATGATTGGCTTCTGTTACAAGAGCTCATCCGCGAATACCTACCTGGGTAATCAACCCCATGTGAAGTCGCTTAGCCGGGAGTACTTACGACCTGGGTACGAGAGTAGGTGGGTGATACGCGTCGTGGGATGGTTAGTGAGCAGCAAAATATAAGCCTCTGGATAAGGGTTGTAACAATTCCTAACAACCCATTTACTACCTAACCAAATCCATTATACTAGTACGCGAGATATATTCAGGTATCGTAGGGAGTCATACCTGTAATATTGGCCTGTTTATTTTGTGCAACTTTTACCTCTAGAACAAAGGAACGCGGCACCTTTGCTATGGTATCGGTGGAGATTATATTTGTGTAGGTCAGGTTCCCTGGTAGTCATTAGGAATAGTCAACTAATGACTCTGGCGTCCGATTTGGTTATTATTCGGGCAGATTTATTGCATAGTTGCCTGATTTTGGCGGTAGTCGATACTAACAAGGGCCAACACGGTTGGTGACGCCTACAGGGAATGCAAGTACTTTTGTTAGTGATGTAATATAGTAGGGGCTTGTATATACCGACACAACCATACGATGCTTTCTTAGGTACCCAGGTATGCAAGAGGGACAGGCTAACGTAGTTGCGTCTGCAAGTGCATGGCACAACAAGTACTTGTTTGGTACCCCTTTAAACCCCCCAATCCCTATTAGGGGCATGTACTCCATTGGTATGTAAGCGATGATCTTTACTGTCGCTACCGCCCCTATGGTTCAACGCCCCGCGATGTAAGGATACATATGCTTCCATTCCTGACGAGACCATCGACGTTCCCTTGAATGATAGTGCAAGGTGAAGCATGTTGACCGAAACCAACCCTGCCTGATTGTCGCCGTAGCCTTTAATTTCAATTATAAGCGGTGCTCTTAG